AGTCACAACATATCATGAGATAGTGAGTTACTAAGTGTAACTTAGATGTGGCACAAGGCCGCAATTATGGGGCATCCAGTGAGAAATGAGCTCACTGCTCAGTTGTAATTGATCTGACAAGATAAGCCTGCGAATTATTACACACTGTTGAATAGTTCACAGTATGAATGAATTTTTAAAATATTTGTTTTTCAGTGTCATATAGACTATTTAAAGAATTAATCTAATGTCACGTACACTGGGTGTTGTTGGCTTTGCTTTGTTTGCAGCAATATATTTGTGCTATGTCAAGGGACTTCGACGTTGTGCAATTTTTAACAAGCTTGATCTACTCGATCTCTTACGAATGAATAGTGAGTTCTGTCATTATTGGGTGCTCCATACCATCGGTCTTGTACCATATGAAAAGCTACGCTTACTAAATCACGTTTTGTTCTTCCAAGTCACCTCGACCATTTTACAATTTTTTTAATGTGACGTGCGCCGAATCATGTCGTTGGACTTGTTTTGTTTGCATTAATATATTTGGGTTTTGTCAAAAGATTTAAAGTATTGAAATGAATAGAAAGCTTGTCTCGCTAGATCAGTTTTGTTTTTACTCATTTCACCTCAGTTAATAAAGCCACTAAGACGCAAGGGGTTACTGAGTGTGAGAGAATTTGAGAAAAAGAAAACACTATTAAGGCTAAAAGAACAGGTATTACGAACACAGAAGGTAAGGATTGATATTGAATTTAAACTTCTGTAGATAAAAGTAGACCGGAAAGCAACAAGAGTCGAAAGAAGTTATGATTAAATATTGACTTCCTGCCTCACTGGGTGTTCTATGCTTGCGAACTTGTAGTAAGTCATCATTTGGGTTATGTCCCTTTATGATACTACGTACTATGATCCGGAATATTATTATTATTATTATTATTATTATTTTGAGTGGTGGGTACAGAAAAAAAGGAGAAGTTAGAATAAACAGAAATGTTGACAAAACTAAAAGAAATCGGGTGTCTAACTTAACAATTGGGAGGCGGGGGAAAAAAATCAAAATTTAAATAACCGTGTTTTCCAGGCGTAGATTAGCATAATTTTTATTAGTAGAACTGAACGATGAACTCTACTTAATTGATTTTCTTATTCTTATTCTTCTATATTTTCTGTTGCCTTCGGGAAAATACTTGCAGTTGTAGAAATTATTCTAATAGTTACTTGGCTCGCACTTCTCACCTGTGGGGCAACCTTTCCGATTTCTGGCTTCCTGACACCTCCAATTTGCACAAATTTAAATGCAACACCAACCGCTACTATACGTCTTCCTGAATCCTGTCATTTCATCGTTCTTTCTCCTCACTAAAATCAGCTTCCTAGCATCGGATTTACAAATCTGACATATTATTTTAGAATTTATTTGGATGCATTTGAATGCCTGTTGTTTGCGGCCATATCGCTTTGAAACAACGGTTCTCACCCGATCACCGAAGTTAAGCAAAGTCAGTACCTAGATGTGTAAGAGTTTCGTGTTACTATATGCTGTAAACTTCTGCAAACACGCATTGATACTGAAAGGGTAAAATGGTAAGGCCTACGTTCAGTAAATAAACTTTCACAGGCTGATTAAAATGTCTATTGAATCATAAACAATTATATTTTTTCTTCGTACACTTTACTCTAAAGAAAGGATTATGTTTGTAAAGATACAATCTAATTTTGTAAAATAATAATATTTTGTGTAAGAACTGCTCTTTATTGATTAAAATTTCGTTGTTAGCGTGACGTGTATGAAAACCAAAAAAAACGTTCTGCTTAATATATAGCAAGTGACAAGAGTCTGTCTATATTTCTGAGATGAGGCATTATGTACAGTATTTACATTAGTCGGACTATTGTCCTCATCTTTGTCGCCATATTTGTCACAACGAAATTCCAACCACCTGAAGAAGGCCGGAGCGTACAACGGCCGAAACGTTGTGACAAATATGGCGACGAAGATGAGGACAATAGTCCGACTAATGTAAATACAGCAAGTGACAAGTTAAAATATTTTTATGATGTGTCAGGTACAATGAGTTTCTGGTTTAGGTGTTAATATTTGCGTGGATTACAATTAGTTCATTCGGGTTGGCGAAAGAATCCCGTCATACAAATGAAGTGATTTCACCACAAGCAAGCCGGGATGCTACTAGTACGCAAGGGGTTACAGAGCAGGAGCGAGAGTACAGAGGCGTGATTAAGGAAAGGATGAAGAGAAAGGCAATGAATAAGTCAAGGCATCTGACATTACATTAGAATAGTTGGAGACAGTTTTCAGATTTTGAGATGTTGATTTTAAATTAGTTTAATTATAAAATAAGAATCAAGAATATAATTTAAATAGTCAGCTCTATAAATGTCTTGTAATTTGTCATATTTGTTTTGCAATTGTGCCATATACGATAAATAAGAAACATTTTTACCATTAATATTTTAATTCGATTTTTCAAGAAAAACAAAAAAATAAATTATATATATATGGTTATATTAGATTATGCAAGTTACTACTACAAAATTGTATATTTTGTTTCGACGTTTAAACACGACTCATCACGTAGTTAACAATGATGGTAACGTATAATAAATATTTATTGACCTACTCTTGTATTGAACGCTTTTTTAAATGAAGATAGGAACATTTAAATTTTATTCTTTCGTTCTTTTTAATATATATATATATATATATATATATATATATATATATATATATATATATATATACATATATATATGTATTATATCATATACATATATTATATATATATTATATTATATACATATATATATATTATATACATATATTATATATATATTATAGTATATTATATACATATATTATATATATATATATTATATTATATACATATATTATATATATATATTATATTATATACATATATTATATATATATATATATTATATATATACATATATTATATATATATATATATTATATACGTATATTATATATATATTATATTATATACATATATATATATTATATACATATATTATATATATATATATTATATATATATTATATTATATACATATATTATAGATATATATATTATATTATATATACATTATATATATATATATTATATTATATTATATTATATACATATAATATATATATATATATATATACATATATTATATATATATATATTATATTATATATATATATATATATATATATATATATATATATATATATATATATATATATTATATACATATATACTGTTTATTCGTTATTTTCTATGGATTCATTTATTTGAGTAAATGCTCTGTTCTTTTAACTAAACAGTATTAATTACATTTACCAACCTGAATGTTCGACAAAACATGCGTCCTCCGACAGGAATCGAACCTGTATCCTATACGGAACTACCATTAAGCCTGGCTTGCAATAACCGTTCAGTCACAGAAATTTAGTCATTCGAACTTTACCGGAAGTTGAATGCTGATAGAACGTCGTAAGTGGACCTAGTCGATTGCATTTACTTCCGGTAAAGTTCGAATGACTAAATGGTGCCAAAAAACAAAACGAATATCGTCTGAATTGACAACTTGCACTTAGTATCGAAATTATAATATTTTCACAGATGTGGAGGGCGACACCTAGATTGATAGATAGATAGATAGATAGATAGATAGATACTTCTAATTTGTTTTTTGTTTATTTGTTTTCTGCTTTTGCTCATCTATTCTTACTAAAAGTTTCAGGCCCGAATGTTCGGTAAGAGGGAAGAAATATCATTGCAAAAATCGAGGAAGAAAATTCTTTTATAAGGGAATCACTTACCTTCACACTAATTGATATTATGTCCAACAAGAAAAGGACACTCATGACCGAAAGATCTACCTTCATAAAGAAAAACTGTTTCTTCTTTCATTTTCTTATCTGTTCTCCCCCACCCACCTGTGACAACCGATGCCAATCACTTAATCAATACTTATATCATCACAATGTGATATTTATGTTCAACTGTAACCCGCCCTTAGCAAATCAAACCGTGGTATGGTTTCTGTCACTTTCCAAAGGTGCCACTCGCTGCGATCGACCTCGATCCTCTCCGATAACAAATCGCCTACCTGACAAATAGTGAGATTCGAACCCGAGTTTCATGGTCAGAAAGCAAACGTTCTAACCTCTCTCTCTCTTTTTTTCTTTCTCTCTCTCTCTCTCTCTGTATATATATATATATATATATATATATATATATATATATATATATATATATATATACATTCCACCTCGGAATATGTGATCAAGCGGCGCTATATCGAGTCTAATTCGCTACCTCTTCGCCACCGAGGTCTCTTAGTATGACGTATGTCACCGTAACTGTTTATATTTGGGCCTCATCAGCAGTGCGCATCCACTACCGAGAATTGAAACCCGGCCAGTTACGTTATGACGCAAGCGTCATACCAACTGTACCAACGGGCCGGCGAAGAGGTATCGAATTAGATTCGATAAAGCGCCGCTCAATCTCATATTCCGTGGTGGAACTCATCCGAGTTTCCCTTACCTATTGGACTGTGCTCCACGAGTACTATCCCTAAGCCGCTCCATCCAGAGCATTAGAAGCCGGTTCAAGCAAGGATTTGAGATAATTATAATTAAGTAATTCATTGAATCTTGAAGAAACCTCAACAGAATATATATATATATATATATATATATATATATATATATAGTACACTAGATTAATTTCCAATAGAAATTAATTAGTTTAATCATCGTTACCATTGCTCATGAAAAAATCGTGATTATATATCGATCTGCATTTATTTTTTCCTGAAACATTTTTTTACTCCATGATTTTCATCAGTGTTTCTCCGTCAAATCCTACTTTCTCTCTTTTGTTTCTTTTAGCTTTTCTTCCCTGTACCACCAGCTAAGTAAACGTCTGCAGAGAGAATGCCATTTTTTTCTCAGTTATTACGTCCGAGTGTCCGTGACATAGTCTCTACCTCCCATTTAATTTTCCAACTCTTTATTTCCGCACTCTCTCTCTCTCTCTCTCTCTCTCCCACACACACTCTCTTTCTCTCTGTATTATTTTTATTCTTTCTTCTCGCTTCCCAGTTTTTCGATATAGCATCTCTTACTCATTCTCGCTTTCTCTTCCTATTTATGTAACCTCTTTCGAACGCATCTCAGAGTCAACCAACCGGACTACCTTACTTGATTTTCAATCACGCAATCAGTCGATATCATGTCTCCTCTTCGTACAGTTTCTTCATATATACATATCGTTCGCTTTCCGCCTAGTCCATTGATCTAATTGGGTAGTAGATTTTTTTTAATTAAATCTTGATGGCGTCCTCCGGATTTCCGGGCTCCGGACAGAATCAGTAAGTGACGTCAATTTTTTTTTTATTCCAAAACTAATTTGTTTCCAGACTCTTGGATTCTTTATTATCTGGTTTCTGTCTTACGGAATTAATTGAATCTGGATTATCGTAAAAATCTTAAAATTTTGCCCGTACTGAAATGGTATCGGCCTATTCAGTAATGTCACATAAAACCATTGAAAACAAATCTCTCTCTCTCTCTCGCGCGCGCGCTCTCTCCTTCTCTACCAACAAATCTTTCCACCACCACCACCATCATCATCATCATCATCATCATCATCATCATCATCATCATCATCAGTCCAATGACCGGGTATGGTCGTCCGTTCGCTGCGTCTTTGAGCACATTACGAACTCCACCCCAAATATCTGGGTTGAAAGCTGAAGAGGTATATGTTCATGCGCTGAATCCTCAGTCTAGTGACCTCCCCGCGCCCCGCACCAGAAAAGCCGGGTGGATGAATCGATTTAGTCGCCGAAGACACGCCCAAGCCACTAGCTGGATTCGTAGAGTGATATGACATTAACAAAGTCTTTCTACCAGTTAACTAGCTGTAGATAGATAGATAGATAGATAGATAGATAGATAGATAGATAGATTATGTTGCCTGGTTATATATATTTAATCTATAGAACAAGACGGTACTTTAGAGCAATGGGTGCCCTTCCAAGATTTATTATTAGCTGGAATATTTTTAAAGTACACATGGATATTGTGTTGATCTCAGACTCAACTGATAATCAGAAATAATTCTTAGATCATATATTAAAGGAAAGCAAGAATGAAGGGCTAATCTCTATCAGAATATACAGTGGTCTAAGAAAAGTTTTTAGCTAGTAGAAATAAACTACATCCAATTTCAAAATTTAATTACGTAATCCCAACTCATCATAAAGAGTATTTGGAACTAGTATGGATTAGGTCCTCTATTTTCTAGTTTCAATACTTGTATTCGATTTTTCATGGATATGATCAAGTTATCAACAATCGTCTGATCCATATTTTGCCACTCCTTTAGCAATGTTACATTAAGGGTTGCCACTGACGAGATTTTGGATGTACGCTCTCGAGGTTTTCGGTCAAGGTGCTCCCAAACGAGATTTATTGGATTCATGTAAGGACTTTGAGCTACCCATAACAGTGTCTTGATTCCTTACGATTCCTTCCAGGCCTTTGCTATTTTGCTCATATGACATGATGCTCTTGAAAAGCTTAGACATTCTTGTCAATCTGATTGGTTTCAAATAGTGGGAGTAGTCCTTTCTCTAATATTTGACAGTATTTTGAACCATTCAACCACTCGTCAGCAAGAATTAGCTCAGATTTCCCTCCAAACCAGACAACGCCCCACACCACACCGATCCCTCCATGTTTCAGATATTCAGTATTCCAAGTCTCATTCTCATTTCTCCGAGCATAAACCAATCTTGAATTAGAATATAGCCCGAATTTACTTCATCTGACCAAATTACAGACTGACAAAATTCATAATCTTTGCTCTCGAATTCTCTCGCCCAGTCCATAGGAAGGTTCCTGTTAACTTCTGAAATCAAGGGCTTCTTTCTTGCAACTATTCTTTGAAAGCCAACCCTTTCAGTGTCTTTGTCACCACATATGGCGATATTTTCATACTTTTTGGCGATATCTTTGATGCTCTGACGATGGTTTCTGATCACTTCCCTTTTCAGCACCCTTTTCGTTCGCTTAGGCACGATGCTTGATCTTCTTGAACATTGTTTCACACGGCAATAGCATTCTTCATTAAATTTCTTGACAATATTAACTGTTTGATGATTAACCTGGAAAAATCTAGCAATTTCTTTCTTTGACTTTCCACACTGATGTCATCCTAATATTTGACCTTGAAATTCACCAATTTCCTTACTTCCGCGAACTTCCATTGCAAAATATAAGTCAATCATCGTTAATAGATGAGAGTAACTTGATACTAACACGGTATTGTCTGAAAAAAAAGTGACGTTATTACACAATCGAAAATTGTTGTAATAAAGGGTAGCTAAAAACTTATCATAGCCCATTCTATGACTATCAGCAAACGAAACAATTCAAATTCTAGGTTAAGAATCGGTAACGCCAAAACCAAACATTTATAAAAATGTCCCTATCTGGCTAATATAGTAATTAATGACGTAAAATTTGACACAGAAATTGGGAAGCAAATAAAAATAACGAAAGGTACTTTCCAAAAACTGAGCGAGAGATAAGGAAAGTTCTTACAAAAAATATAATGCTGAAATCTTATGTAATATCTAATCTCCTATACGACAGTGAATGGACAATTTCCTCGCATATAACGAAGAAATGAGAAATGACGGGGTGGTGGATCTGCCGATGAAAGCTAAGGATACAATGGACTGAACATATGCGTAACAAGGACGTTTTAATGAAAATACGAATTAAAAGTAAACGGATGATTACAGTCAGAAAGATCTTGCTGGATTCTTCGGTATATATAATGAGGGAGGAAAACATGGAATATTTAACAGTCACAGGACATAATAAAAGCAAGAAAGGTAGGAGAAAACAGCAAGTGACCTTGCAGAGTAACTGTTTGTTATATACCGTACCTTTTTGAACACTAACAGGTATATCCTATTCCTCATAAATACGTTGAACACTATTGTAAGTATGTTGCATAACTTAGCCTTGTGCCGTAATTGTATATTTGTATACAATAAATATCAATAAAATATCAAAGCTGACAGCGTGAACTGTCAGTGTGGGAAGCTCTTGCCGTGTCGAACGCTCTGCCTTTCGGCAGCGAGGAACCCGGACGAGGCTATACCGACGGGCAGATTCTTATCCGGGGAGGTAGACAGAAACCGAATGCCGCGCAGGCGGGGTTTACAAGCAAATTTGCCTCAACCCAAGGGTTTCCCCGCATCAAATTTGGCCTTGTGACGCATCTTACCTCGTGGCGATTCGGGTAAATATCGTAATATGCTATCTAAGTAGTTCACCATTAGCAGTGGTTTACCTACTTCACACCGCTGGCGAGTATTGTATCTTGTTGATGTTATAAAGATTATTATTTAATTTCCAACCTCCGTTTTGGTTATTCCTCATTCAGTAACCCTTTCTAGGTTACAACATTGATTCAAATCAAAAAAATCAAATGACAAATATAAACCCACGTCTCAGCGCAGAGTTCCTGTTTCAAAGATATGTTAAATTTTCAAATTAATTACAATAAAGAGTAGCCAATAAAATCAGCTCCTGCCAATAAATAAACATCGGTTTCTGGAGCCTACACAAAGCAATATAAACCAGACATCCATTCGACACAACAGAAAGTCTTACAGCAGTAAAGAAAGAACCTCGTCGTCCAGCCTTTCACACCAAAGCAACAGCGAACTCTCTTTGATCTTTTTACCCAATTCCTCTTCGTCACTGAAGGAATATGTTCATTTCCTTTTATACAAACTTGTATTTCGTGATGGTAGTTACAATTAACAAATTGTGTATTTTACGTTAAATAAATAATGTCATTGTATTTAAATACGTAGCAACCGTTTATCTCATTTTTATTCAACAATCGGTGACTCATTGAATCTTTCTTTCCCAACAACCTGTTTAACTATTTTGAGCAAATATATGGCACAGCAGAAACGATAAAAGGTTAAATGTTATTTCGAGCAATAAAAGACTGGGCATTGTAGAGTGCCACATCCTAAAAGAATATGAAATAGAAATGTGAAACCTTAGCCAAATAAATATGTCAAAACACTCTCACGACTCAAGTAGTAGTAAGCTTAAATAAAGATTTTAAATTGTAGATATGTTTGTATTCTTTCTCATGTAATACCAAATTCGATTAATAAAAGTAATGATAATTCCCTTGCATAATATTTGAAATTAAAATAGGCTAGTAAAGATTTTTGTTTTATTTTTATTTATTTATTTTTTTTTTGCGAATACGGCAAATATTGATTTAATGATAGCAAATTGATACAATTTATATTCAATCTTGTTTGTGCATTAAAATACTGCATTTATTTGCAAATATATCCAGTTTAAATAAAGAAGAGTCATAAAAATATCATCAAAGGGCCGACTTATACTATTTTCCGGTCACCCAGTAGTTGTTGTCAGACAAAAAGTGGATATCATCCCTGGCGACAGAGATGTCTATTGTAATTTCATTCAAAATGTGTGTTTATGTACATTTTTTTAAATTCAACAACAGACCAAATATCTTTTTACAAAATTTAAAAAATGATTTTAAGAATACTTCTCTTTATATTTTCCGAAAATCTTAATAAAAATATCTTTTAGGGTTTTAAGATTTAAACAATTATACTGTTGTCTCCTACTTCAGGAATTTATTGTTCATCGCAGGGTAGAGGTTATCTCGAATGCGAGGAAGAATCCTGTATTATTCCAATGTGTTATTTCAAATTCAGTTAAAATGGGTATGCGTGTAATTGTGTGCATATTAATTAGCACAGACACACGTTTGCCACCCACAACGCATAACACAAGCATAGGCATATATATTACATAAGAGCCTTCAAAGTGGTAGAATGTATATGACAGATAGACAACCAACATTTTTTATAATATCGATTTGGGGTTATTTTGATATATTATTGATTTTTCAACTTGGTGGTCAAACATTTTATAGCCTTCTGGTCAACTTTATTTCCACAAGTTGGTCAACATTTTAAAAGAGGTTGAGCAAACATTTCCCAAATCGTTGGTAATCTTACAATACATTGGTTAATATTTTAGAACTGACTGGTCCAATTAGACAATTATAGTGAAACTTTCTAAAAAATAAATGAATTCTTTGCTAAAATAATAATAATAATAATAATAATAACAACAACAACAACAACAATAATAATAATAATAAATACAAAATAATCTCCCAGGAAATGAAACCCAAGACGCTACCTTAAACACAACCTGCAGTTCTCCAGAAAATGTACCTGGAGTCATCTTCAGTGACAATAAGTTAGAATTCCTTGAAAACCACGAAGCTGAAATCACCGAAGCGAAAAATGACGTCATCCAAGTACTCAGCAAAGTAACTTTCATACAATTGTCAGACAGAGACCAGCTCCCGAAAATCCATATGACGAATTCCAACAAGCACATCGAGAAAATATACAATGCTGCCCTGGAAACACTGTTAACAGATAAACTACCGGGAAACATCACAGAAGTTAACAACGTCATATACGCAACAGCTTTAGCAGCTACTCGGAAGCTTGGGGTCAAGACAATAAATAAAATTAACAGACATAGAGAACCAGCTTGGAAAACCAAACTGATTCGAGAAATAAAACAAATCAGATGTGAGCTTTCTATATTAGATGAACTCACCAGAAACCCTAATATTTCCACACGTAAATTCAAAAAGATCAAGCGGAAATATAACATTAAATCCCTAACTGACATTCCACCAATCAAGGAAATGCTGAAGCAGAAACTTCAGAGAACAAGACGATACGAAAAACGTTGTAGGTTCTATCGCCAAAATAAAATATTCCGAACAGATCTTAAGAAATTTTACATGGAAATTGGAAAAACACCTATGCATGTCGAAAGGCCACCATCGATTGATAATGTACAGACATTTTGGGAAAATATTTGGAGCAGCCCAAAGGAATATAACCCAAATGCAGAATGGATACGGCGTGAAGAAGAACGACTGCTTGATACACTTCTGCAAGAATGGGAAAATATATCCACAGATGATGTTAGGCAAGCTCTAACGAAATCCCCAAAATGGAAATCCCCAGGAAATGACAAGTTGCCCAATTTCTGGCTGTATCATCTCACATCTACCCATGAAATTCTTGCAAAAACATTATCAACGCTTGTAAATAATCCCAATAAAATCCCGGAATGGATTACTGAAGGTATTGCACACCTCATACCAAAAACAACTGAAACAGACGACCCGAAAAATAATAGACCGATAACATATCTCTCCACAACGTATAAGTTGATCACGTCTGTACTGACGAACCGTACTTATTCCTTTTTCGAAACAAACAGCATTCTCCCACTGGAACAGAGGGGGTGCAGAAGAGGTTCATATGGCTGCAAAGATCAACTTCTGCTAAAAAAATGAACCTGGAAAATTGCAGAAGACGACGCAGAAATCTTAGTGCAGCGTGGATTGATTATCGTAAAGCCTTTGATGGCGTTCCACATTCTTGGATCCTTAAGACTTTGGAAATGTACAAACTCTCCCCTGTGGTATTAAATTTCCTTAAGCATAGCATGGGAATGTGGAACACCAAACTATACCTTAGTCACACCGGGGGCACTGCCATATCCAACCGTCTGAATATCCGACGTGGAATCTTTCAAGGAGACTCTCTGTCACCTCTTCTGTTTTGTTTATCCTTAATCCCTCTTACACATGAACTGAACGACAGTAGCTATGGTTACAAAATAAATAAGAAAATATTCAATCATCTACTCTACATGGATGATCTCAAACTCTTTGCCAAACACGACAATGAGTTGAAAGGCCTCCTCAATATTGTAAAATACTTCAGTGACAACATAGGTATGAACTTCGGATTAGATAAATGTGCAAAAGTAACATTCAAGAAAGGTAGAATTACAGAAACGCCCTTAATAGATTTAGATTTTGTCACAAAGATTAGGGAACTGGAGCATGGTGAAGCTTATAAGTACCTAGGAATTAGCGAAGGAGATGGCATACAACACCCCCAAATGAAGGAAAAAAATAAGAAAAGAGTACTACAGGCGTGTACGTCTGGTACTAAATACTGAGCTAAACTCAAAAAAAAAGGATATCAGCAATAAACACCTTGGGTGTCCCTGTGGTGCAATACAGCTTTAATGTCCTTAACTGGACCATAGCTGAAATTAAGCGAATGGACGCCAAAACGAGAAAGCTTCTCACTTGCTATCGCATGCATCATCCCAAAGCTGATGTTGTTCGTCTGTATGTGCCCAGATCCGAAGTAGGCAGAGGATTAGTTCAACTAGAACTGTCCTACAAAACTACAACAATTGGCCTCCAAATATATTTGGAAACTACAAAAGACTGGATGATGGCATGCGTCAAGGAACATGAAAGTAGTAAGCGTCTTTATTCCGTAATGAAAGAAGCCAACAAATTCACAATGGAGTTTCAAATGGGCGTAGAGATGCAACTATAGCACAATACACCGGCTGAAACTGCAAAATACCTAAAAAATACAGCAAAGACGAATGCAACCGACCAGTTACAGAAGCGATGGCAAGATAAACCGCTTCATGGCCAATACTCTGCCCGTACCAAACAAGCTGACGTAGACAAAACCCGTACCCATCAGGGGCTACGTAGTGCAGGGTTGAAAGCGGAAACTGAAGGTTTTATCCTGCTGCAGAGGACCAATGCTTGCTAACTAGGGAATTATCAATCACATATACTAAAATATTGCGTCAGACCAAAATGCAGATTCTGTGATAAGTATCCAGAAACGATTGATCATCTTGTATCAGGTTGCACGGTGTTGGCTCCCACTGAATATAAAACCCGACATGACAGAGTGGGCCAATATCTGCACTGGAAAATCTGCAACTTCTACGGGAAGGAAACTGAAAGAAACTGGTATGAACACCACCCAGACCCGGTTACGGAGATAGGACCTGTTACAATTCTATGGGACTAAACAATACACACTGACAGAACAATCAAGGCCAATCGGCCAGATATTGTTATTAAAGACCACAAACAAAAACGGTGCCTCCTTATTGATATGGCATTCCCTGCTGACTGCAACGTATCTTTGAAGATATTCAAAAAGTTGTCAAAATACAAGGACCTTGAAATAGAGATCTCGAAAATGTGGCATAATGGTAACATCAACAATCCCTGTTGTAGTTGGAGCCCTAGGACTGGTTGGAAAAGATTGCAGTAGACTAATTGAAGAGATTCCTGGAAGTCCATGCCTCAAGGAGATACAAAAATTGTTCTGACAAGTACAGCCCACAATTTACGAAGGGCTTTATCTATGTAATTATTTTTTTTTGTCAGTGGAAAGTGTCATGGCGCCATTTCTAACCTTAGGTCCCTGAGCGGGACCCGGAAAGAAATGTGTAAACGCCAGAAATCAAAGAAAATAAAAATGATAATAATAATCTTCTTCTGCTTTTTCTTCTATGCATTATCCCTTCAGGACGTTGGTTATCATGGCTCTCCAAATTGTCCTGTCCTTTGTAGCTCTTAGAAAATATTTTGTCTTTTTACTGTATCTCCTAATCCATGTTCAGCTAACAATTTATAGAAGTTCGACAGATAGTTTATGCTCTCTTTCCATCTGTCCCCTCTTGCCTTCAGTATGTCCTGTGAGGGTCAAATTTTCCACGCCCTCTTTTTTCTTTATGTGCGCTAGTAATTTCAATATTCTCTTCCTGATGTTAAGTATAAGTTTTCTTTTTGTTTCCATTTTCTCTAAAACATCGTCATTGCTCATTAGATCGATTGATGGTATTCTCAGCATCATACTGTAGAACTACATGTATATTGCATCAAGTCTTCACTTCATCTGTGAAGAGATTGTTCTGCAACGTCTGCCATAGAGGAGCACCGATATTACATAAATTATAGTACTGTTTTCTTTGTTCCTAACGTAATTTTCCTATTACTTGATACTTTGCTTAGCTTTTAGAAGGCATCTTTCGCTATCCGAATGCAAGTTCGGATTTCGGTGTCGCCCTTTCCGTCCTCTGCTCAAACACTTCCCTTATATTTAAATTCTTCCTCTTACTTTATTTAGGTACCTGTCATTTTAATTTGCATGCTTCATTGTTTCTTTTGATTAAAACCATATATTCTGGTGTAATATTCCTTCAGAATGTTGTCAGCGACAGTGTTTTTTTTTTAACTTCTGGCACGCAATCGCAAATGACATCATGAAGTCCGAACCAATAACTACTCCAATGCAATGAAGTTATTTAGCTGTTTCAAATTTAATATATACTAAAGTATATAAACTATATATTACTATAAAAAATATATATTGTAGAACAGGTATATATTGACCTTGACTTGTATAAAAATACGTTTGATTTTGGCACACTGAATGATTTTAAAAACCCTAAGTCGGCACATAGTTAGCAAAAGGTTACCGACCGCTGTCCAAACCCTGTTCTGCCACCAGCTTAAGCAATCCGTGAGTTAGGGTATACACAGTTTTCTTCTATCCGCTGTGCCTTCATTATGTCCTGTGAGTGTCGAATTTTCCAAGCTTTCTTTCCTCATTATTTGCCCAAGAAATTTCAATTCTCTTTCTAATGTTAAGAATAAGTGCCCTTTTTGTTCCCACTTTGTCTAAAACGACTTCATTGAACACATGCTCGGCTAATGATCTTAGACAATTCAAAATATGAAAACAATGCCATTTGTTGTATCCGTGCCAGATGTTCTATTTATGACCGTATATTTGATCAAAATAGAACTTTTTTCCCTTCTTGACCTGAAAGAGTAGAATTTTTTTTTCTACTTCAAATTTCAAGAAAAAAAAATATTGACACAGATAATAAAGGCTTACGGACAGATCATGTTCAAACAACTGTTCCCGTGCAATCCCTGAAGTTAAGCAACATCGAGCCTAAGCAGTACCTAGATAAGTGACCGCTTGGGAATACCAGATCCTGTAAGCTTGGATGTGCAAGTCGTGTAATGGATAATGGCTCGGAATTGTTAGTCGGAGAGCTGAGTTCCAAATCCAGTTGGGTTCGTTATATTCACCTACATGTAAATACCATTGGGAAAGGGATGAATCCACCTCTTCTCCCCCAGCTATGTATTATTTAGTAAGATTTTATGATGAAAACTATTCTTATTTGCAAAAAAACAAAACATTACTATATATATATATATATATATATATATATATAAAAAGAAACGTTTAGTCTGAAAGTATAAAATTATGTACATGTCTACATCTGAAAGCATAAAAATTGCGTACAAAGTATTTTGATTCGGGATTAAATAACCGATAGAGGTTGTTATGCTTCTAAACAAAATCAAACATCCCAAACCTTAGTATTTAGATTTCGGGTTAAAATAACCCATAGAGGTTGATATGCCGCTAAACAAAATCAACCAAACATAATCCAAATATTTAGATTTCGGGATTAACTAACCAATAGAGTTTGACATGCCGCTAAATAAAATCAAGCACCCATAATCCAAATATTTTGATTTCGGGTTAAAATAACCGAAAGAGTTTGATATGTCGCTAAACATAATCAACCAACCATAATCAAAATATTTAGATTTCGAGATTAAATTACCGATAGAGTTTGATATGTCGCTAAACAAAATCAATCTACCAGAATCCAAATATTTAGATTTTGGGATTAAATAACCGATAGAGTTTGATATGCCGCTAAACAAAATCAACCAGTCATAATCCAAATATTTAGATTTCGGGATTAAATCAACGATAAAGTTTGACATGCCGCTCAACAAAAACAATCTCCGAACAAAAAAACAAAAAAATATTTTCGTAGATGATTAAATAGTAATATATTTCTTTTAATCAATTCACCCCCAGACAGCCAATAATGCTCCTCAGACGCAAATGGCAACTTCAAGTAAAAGAGAAGCAAAAACCGGAAATCCAATAATAGAATACATTTCAGAGTTTAAGCGGAAACTTTAGACGTATAGATTTAAAATAGAATTTAGAAGGACCTTAAAACACAATCTTAAACAGGAAACAATGGATAAACCTCGAAGACTGTACAAAGGACCTGGGAGGATTTAGAACCGATCGGTAGGTGAACCTAACTACGCTTTTTATGGAAAAATAAATTAATAAATAAATAAAATAACAATTAAAATTTTCAGGATTTATGCGAAGTCGTTAGTCGCATAGTGTGGGTGTAGAGTTTAGAAGGAACCGGAAACCCAATCCTAAACAGGAAACACGGGATAAACCTATGCTCCTGCTTAAAACCTGAGAGGTGTCTGAGCCGAATACGGATGAGGCCCCCAATTATTTACATAGTAACCAAAACAGATACTGAAAGAATAATTACATCGTTGGATTTTTTTATCCAACGATGTAATTATTCTTTGAGTATCTGTTATTATCAACTCCAAAACCGTATTGTTCTACATAGTTACTAACATCAGATATATATTTAGGAGGGGTATCTAAATTCCACTGGTGAGCACCAGTTCACGGAGCTTGCTGTTAACATTACTAAAACGAATTACGACATAATTGTGTTCACATACACTGTTTGATCTCTGTAAATATTAAGTAAATGTTGAATAATGTGAATTGGCTGCATATTTTTCTACAAGGAAATATTAAATGACATAGTTATTTCTTGGTCGACGCCATTTTTATAGACGGCTATATGTAACAGCCAGAAAGTATGATTTATTGGCTGGAAAAATTAGCTCGGTACTCCTGTACCACCAACTGACGTAGGGGCCAACAGAATAAAATAGGAGGCATTACAATCGGAACGTCCATCGTATAACGAGATATATAGATGATTAATAGGTACTATTCACTATACGTGATAGCAACCCAGACAACACCAAGTAATCACTATAGAACATTAGGCATTCAACGTTGACGCTGTTTCATAAAAGTAGGCCTCTGCGCATGTGCTTAAAATTCGTGAAGCTGTTGAATAACCCCGGTGTCTTTTTCTTGCAACCTTACACGGGTAAGCGTCGACATTTTTTCTATTGTGAAAGACGATGATGAAAACACTTAGAGACAAAAAGGGAACAAAAAGAAAAGGCAGACAAGTGGCCGGGAGCGAAAACGTAAACACGACGAAATGAATTTGTGTTCGTTTCGCTTTAGTCCTAGATGCAGTCAAACGCTATCGAGAAAAAGAAAGTAATGTGTTTTTTGGGGGGCTTTTTTATATGAATTTTCTAGATAAATCTTTCTTTTACTATTACAATGTAACCCGGATATAAGAGACCCGGATATAAGAGAGATTTTCTCTGGTCCCAAATTAGAGCCTGTGTTAATGTATATAAAATAGACCAAACCTGGATATAAGGGAAACACGGATATAAGAGACTTCTTCTCCGGTCCCGACAACTCTCTTATATCCGGGTTACACTGTATATGACTTTTTAGAACATAGATAATATTGGCTCTCTACAGAATCCTTTTCCTTATTATTCTGAACGGCTATGACTTTTTAGTAAAGATAAAGAAATGGTTGTTTCCCGTGGACTTCTTTACGTTTTTAGCCAGTGTTTATCAACCATTTCATGCAAGGCACACCTAGGCACAAATGAAAAATATCACGGCACATTTAGCAAAATTTAAATGCTATGAAATAAGACCATAGATTTTATATATATATATATATATATATATATATATATATATATATATATATATGTACATGTATGTGTGTGTGTGTGCGCGTGTGTGAAAAGTATGTGTATATAAATATAAATAAATATATATATGTATAATTATTTATATATTATACGCGGTACTTATTAGAAAGCGCTCAATATCAGAGATAGACCTAACATATTTGGTTTCCCCCACCACTTCCACAATAACACCAATACACGCAATCTACATAAACCCAAAACTTTTAAATAATTAATCAGTTTGTCTAACGATCGCTAAAGCGTGAAACCCAGGGTCACAAACTCACATCTATCCAACCAATATATATATATATATATATATATATATATACATATATATATATATGTTCATTCGTGCTGGGTATGACGACAAATACATCCGCGCCCTGGGTAAGACGATAAACTACGTCCACCAGCAAGCCCTTTGATCAGGATGTTTTGAGGAGCGTTGAACCACCTCTTAATTGCTAGGGTTCCCAGGTCCAACCTAAACCAGTGTGGTAGCACCTGTTAGAGTCCCAGTTATGGGCAAATAGTTAACACCCAAACCTGTGTAAAAATAGGTTTCAATACCAGAAATACTTTGTAATAAAAAAATTACCAGCAATAATTTCTAAAGGAAAAATTATTATCAGTAATACTTAAAAAAATACCAGCAATACAAACAGTTATACATTCCTTCAAGGGAAAATATTCCCAGAATAGATTTAAAAAAAAAATTACCAGCAATAAAAAAAATTATCGGTATTAATTAACCCATTGATGTTGATATGCTGTAAAACAAAGAACAAACCAATATATATATATATGTATGTATAAATTTTATTGTTATACGTTATTTATATAGACACAAAATAAAATATAAATAACGTATAACAATCCATTTCGTAGTGTGTGAGGTCATTTGCTTACGTTTAGATACGCTTCGAGCAGATATGACATTTCGAGGTAAATCATGGAAGATTGTCGTCTAAACGCAGTAAAGTCGAGCTTGCTAGCCAGACGCTCCTCTGTAGCTAAACTGGTATAGCACGTCAGGCAACATGACGGTTCCGTTTAAGATACAAGTTCAATTCCTGTCGGAGGACACATATTTTCTATGAGTTTTTTTCGGACTTTGAAGCCGGTAAATGTTTTAATACTGTTTATTACAAACAGAGCATTTACTGAAATACAGTGGGGCCTCGGTTCACGAATTTAATTTGTTTCTGAAGGCCGTTCGTAAACCGAAAGTATTTTCCCCAATAGGAATCAAGGTAAAGAAAAAAGTCACAGTACAATAAAATTGGAAAAGAAAAGCACGGCACAACACACGAATGTTTAAAACATGGCGGTCGATTCAGAAATTATTCCGTTCGGGTTAACTCGGTTTGGCAATGTTTTTCGAGAACCGAAATTTTTTTGATAACTGAGGCTTTTTCATCTCGAATTTTCTGTTCGAAAACCGATTTGTTCGACATGTGAAACTTTCTTGAACCGAGGCTGCTCTGTATTTGTAGCTACATAAATAACTTATAACAGTAAAAATTATCTTAAAATAATTGTCGGACTTTGTCCATTTCGTAGTGAGTGACCCACACACGCACGCTTTACATATATATATATATATATATATATATATATATATATATATATATATATATGAATGAATGAATTTACTTTATGTCAATGTTTTTATTTAACAATTTGTGCGGATTATTTAGTGTTTATTTAGATTTTTTCGGGATTTCTACAATGTTTAGACGGATTTGTGATAAGCGTACCTTTATTTCTTTTTAAGTTGTGCGTAGTCTTTCTCGTTTCTTATTTTTTTTATGTTATTTTAGGTTGAGAATCCTAATTCACATAAATGAGTAGAAAATTCTAATAAAACTCAAAGCCTTTGTAGCTGATTTGGGATATTACTTTTCTATTGAGATCCAAAATATATCAAGGTGTACTGTCGAATAAGTGTTAAAAAATTAATATTAAAACAAAGTATTTTAAATAATATAATAAAGAATTATTTGGAAAAAAATGTTTAATACATTTTCATTTATTCAAATACTAACGCTGTATTATTACTACTTCTAGAGACATATATATGTCAGTCGGCACAATTAAGAGGTTCACGTAATACCCGAGTGTGCTGATACTTACCTTGTGTAGGGCTCCGTCCCTGCACTGGTAGTATCACAGCTACGACTAGCTTGGACCGGCTCTGGCCTGGACCGGCTCTGGCCTGGACCGGCTCTGGCCTGGACCAGCTATGAACAGCCAAGACCAACTATGACTAGCTTAGACCAG